TGGAGAAGGCTCGGAGCATGCAGCACTATAAGAATGTGAGCTCGTTGTGGTGGGCCGAGGCGGTGAATACAGCGATGTAACTGATCAACAGGACCACGAACAGTGTTCACGCAAGCATGACACCGTTTGAGCTTTAAAATGAAGCCGCGCATGGAGCAATTGCGTGTGTTCGGCTCTACCGGGTATGCTCACGTGAAAGACGGCAAACGTACGAAGCTGAATGCAATGCGCTTCAAGTGTAGGTTCTTGGGGTACGCTGAGAACGTCAAGGGGTACCGGGTGTACGACTTGAAGTCAAACAGGCTCAAGGTGTCACGTTCGCTGAGACTGGATGAACGGGAGGTAAACGGTATCTATGATACGGCTGTACCGAACGAGTCGACAATTGTCCATGTGACCAAGGGGGTCGACGAACCAATGCCGCCTGCTGATGAGGAACTCGGCGGCGATGACGTAGAAAGTTGAACCAGATTCGACATTGACGGATAGAGAGGTGACGACGTACAGAAAATCTTCGAGGTTGACGATCGGTGACAGCATGGTGTTCCACCCGAGGACAGAGCGCGTTCGCCGAGTAGAGACACCGATGCTGCTGAACGATGGCTCCGCGAATTATGAATCGGCGATTGTAATTCAACGAACCACGACGAGTACCATGGGACCGACAGTGATCCTGACAACGACTGGCCACCATCGCCCAAGCGACCGCGCATTGATGAAGACGGACTGCTCGCTGAGGCGGTGCTGGCATATGCGGCTAGTGTCGGCGAGGCTGATGATGCACCAACGACGTATCAGCAAGCCATGGATGATGACGATGCGGCGGAGTGGGTGAACGCGATGAAGGCAGAGCTGCGAGCGCATGAACGGAATGGATCATGAACACTGGTACCGAAGTCGGCAAATCTACGACCTATTGGGTGCAGATGGGTGTTCGCCAAGAAGCGGAACGAGCATGGGCAAGTAGTTCGGTACAAGGCTTGGCTTGTGGCGAAGGGTTTCAAGCAGAAGTTCGGCGTAGACTTCTTCAAAACCTACTCACCGGTGGCCAACATGAACTCGATTCGTGTGGTGTTAGCGGTTACGGTGAAGGAGAAGTACGTGACGGAGCAATTGGATGAGGACACGGCATTCCCCAACAGCAACCTCAAGGAACCGTGTACATGGAGGTGCCGTATGGCATTGAAGACGTCGGGGGCTACATGTGCAGACTCGACAAGGCGATCTACGGATTGAAGCAAGCGGCGAGCGCATGGAACAAGACGATCCATCGCGTCTTCATGAAACTTGGCCTCAAGAGCTGCAGGGCAGACCAGTGTGTGTACGTCAAGGAGTGCAAGGGCAACTTGATATACGTATGTCTTTACGTCGACGACATGATCATCGCGGCAAAGACGAGCAAGGAATTTCAGGACGTCAAGATGGGACTCAAGAAGACGTTTAAGATGAAGGAGCTCGGCGAAACTAAGTTCATCTTGGGGATGGAGATCGACCACCAGAGGCCAGCGAATTTACTGACCATCAAGCAAATGCTCTACATTGACGACGTGGTGGAGCGATTCAACCTGCAAGACGCCAAGGCTGTGGAGAATCCGTGCGAGTCGGGACTCAAGCTGCGAAGCTTTAATCGCCGACCACGGCTATGCGCGGAAAAATAATACATGGCATCACTCAGTTTCCTGTGTCACGGTTCTTTAGGTGTGGTCACATGTTTTAAGTCACTTTCATACACCGCAATTTTTGATGTGGGGTAACACGCGTGCTAGGTCTCCGGTCATCACATAGTGTTTTCCTACCAATATAGAATAACTAGGATTTGTAGACCACCCTTTTCACTTTGCACCCTGCAGCTGTTCTAAATGACAAATTCACCTATGACGAACGGTGAGCTCGGTTCCAACTACAACATTAATCATATCAAATTGGAAATTACACTATCTCGCAACTATCTCAAGAAATGATTCTTCAAGCTTAATGCGAGCTCTTATGTAACAACATATCGACCATAGTATGGCTGACGGACATATGACACTATCATTCCATTGGACTTAGAGCAAAGTGAGGGGTACCAAAGTACTAGCAATGCCTCATATTGTAATGAGATATGTCATGAAAGAAAAGTTAGTGGGGCATGTGTCCCGCCAATCTCGTGCTATACAATACAAAGAGGTCTACTTGTGGACATAATGAACTTGATATACTAAATATCGGTTTGACCTAGACTGAAAATGAGATATATGCCATGCTTGAAAATAAAAGAACAGAATAAAGTACTCAGCTACTTGGAAGGCTGTCGGCTCCCGGTTTTTATCAGAGCTTACGAATCCAATTTGGTACGTTATTTAACGCCGATTTGCTGATCTGTTTCTCACGAAGCGCAAGGTGCAACGCAAAGTTATTGCCTATTTGTCATATACTTAAGATTAACCTGGGTCTTACGGGTAAGATTTGTTACAATTGCGATAAGGACGACAACTACATGAACGACAAGTTTTTTTCAGCAACGCACACCTCTCTTCATTGGCACAGATAAGCTTAATGTTTTTAGCATTATCTCTTAAAAGGAAGGTGCAAAGATACAGCATAATAATCAGATAAGGAAAACACTGATTGAATAATGCTTAAAACACGGCTTTTGACACATAGCTACACGTATTTCCCCCATCAAATTCATTTCAAAAGTAGCTAGCCTTTGTTAAAGGGTTCTTAACCTTGTGTTGAAGTTTTGGATGGCATGTAGGAAATGTTTGCGAAGATTGAATGCTCTTTCATATAAAGTTAATAAAATTAAGAGACATTCAGCAGTATGTCACCTAGATCGTAAGTGCTAACCACAATCAGATATTACGCCACTTGGTCGCATACTACTTCGCTAGCTTTGTATTGATTGCTAGTATGTACAGGTTAACAACAAGGTGTTTAAGGTACTGCATCCATAACGCCTAGACGTCCATTTTTGTCGTCTATTTCAAAAATGTTTTGACCTATTTTCTCCAGTGTGATCTTTTACAAGCGTGCCGTCTGAATCATCATCTATCATGTTTGTCGCCATATAAGGTAAGGGCTACTTTCTACGTACTTGTGTGTAAATTTGGTGCAACGTAGTTGCCGTATACTTTGCACATAGAAATTTGACTTTTAAAGTCCGCGAAAAGTCACGCACAGAGGATGTTCTCACAGGCCGTCTTAAGGAAGCCAAACAGAGAGCCTCTAAGTATCTGAAATTTAAATGTGATCAAGCTAAAACGTTTTCCTGGGTCGAAAGTAGATAGAAGTAATGCCAAATATGTAATTATAGAAAAATGCTACTTGCTGCATTGTATGAGGTTAGCAGTCCAGCTTTCCAATATTAACTTTTTGGATTCCTCCTATTTATTATTGGTAACTGTCCTTCAGCATAACACAACAACAGGGTATATTTCAGCCGCTTAAAGTACAAAGAACAATATTGTTGTGTACCTACGCTACAACAGGGTACATCACGTTGTGTAAAGTTATCAAATGGTGATGATGTCTACTCAAAAATCTATCGAAAGCCTAAAACTATTGGAAGACCATAGATATGATTGAATAAAATCTTTAGATGTAACAAAATGAGAGAAAAGAACCCAACACAGTGGAAGCGAGGTTTAGATAGTTTTGTGTTGCTGGCTGGAGTAATATATGCATACATATGTCTAGAATCCAGGCGAAACTGTTTTACGAGATAACACTTGATACATATATTATGGTCAAACCATGGATTTTTACTTGCACCCTCTACATTCTTCTTAATTCTCGCATCTGTAAGCATGGCAGTATGTACTAGTCAAACAGCTTATTGGCGCTTAACGTGTCAAGTGTCGACTGTATTTGGAGGCGTCTCGACGGCAGAGCAACTAGAGAAGGCTGCAGCTATCGAGCTCTGTAAGCATTGTTTGCAAATAAAGAAGTTAAGCGTGATTCTGAAAATATCCGGTAGGCGCAGCTGCAAGAAGTCTCACTAATTAAGCAAGGATACGAATATTCTTTCGTTTGAAACATTGTGATGGACTCAAGATGTGAGGAGTCAACTGTCTCGATTTCTAGAGTATATTTTTCAAGAGTTGTGAGGAAGTAGAGTGTCTCAATTACTAGAGTCTTTCTGCCGAGGCCATTTGAAGTAGAAGTGTTGAGCATTGACTTGACAAGATTAAGCAACCGTAGATGTTGAAATTTCGAAGCGGCAAAACCCTTCAATTTTGGCGACCTTACGTTTCTTTTGTCGCAAGACGTACACATCTCACACGCGACTGTCAACACATCGACAAGTTCTTGAAAGCCCACCACCATCATTTCTCTTAATCGATCCGTACGTCTTCGTGGCGTTAGGACAATGTCGTGCTGCTAAATCTGCAAGCTAACTTTTGGTACCTTAGCTCACGCTTCGACGTTGACAAGTTCAGAGCATAAAGCAGCAACCTGGAGCGCTTAACGTTTTCGAGATGCTCCTAATATCCAAGACGAAGACGGCAGACCACTTGCCGTTATCAAATCAAGGATCAAGCTGCACGTCCAGATTTGAGAGTTTGTGTCTCTGGTCCAGTGCTTGGATTGCCGCATCATCAGCACATGTGAGAGCGAGAATGCGGCATGAAACATGTGAGCCAATTGCAGACAATATTAAAGGACCTTTGCCATAACAATTAGGCATAACATGTAAGCAAAATAAAGCTCAATGTTTCCACTGGGACCTCCTGATTAGAAATTCTATGGTGATGAAATTCCTCAAGACAATTACGCTTAATAATTCCAACACCAGCTTGATTGAGATTACACCGACGGACGCGTGAGGATGACGTCCCAAGAATTACGGTAAGTCACAGTCACCGTCATGGTTATGGCTATAGACTATAGACATAGTTGTAGCCTGAAGAAGTCAGGTTACAGTCCTTAGGCTCAATGGTAGCACAGAGTAGCGAGCCAAAGACTTTATATATATTATTCACTGCGATTTTTGTCATCGTCTCAAAACATTTTGGTGGCTCCAACACGTGCGGTGTCAAGTTTTAAGTCTGGGGAACTTAATGTTCTGCTCATCATTTCAAAAGCTGGCATCGACATTTGATTGTTTACTCTTGTTTATACAAACGAGATAGCTACAACCCGTCTCAGCTCACCATTCTGTATATATGTCAAGTAATTCGATGAAAATTAAGGTCAGACCGAAGACAGATCAAAGCAAAAAAGCAGTGAGTCTGCAATTCATTAAGCAAGCACAATCCCTAGTCAAATACTTACAGATCTCATATCTGACGCGCTCTGGACGCTAATCTTCTCTTATGCTCTGCAAAAACGCAAAAAAATTTAGCAAGACACGTACACTTGATAGTGGAAATTAACACCCTCGTCACAAAAATTTCATGCTTGACGTTAGAAAGAAAGTGGGGTCTAGTCCATAATTCAAGGACATGCACAAATCTCTTCCATTCACACAGGATGTTTGCTCAATGAAGGTCTGAGTTAATTTCCATGATTTGGCAAACGATACCCAATTAAAGTTCTTCTGTGTATTTCGCGTAGCGATCATTATTGATGAGCAGACAACAACCTCGTCTGTACTGACAGCAGCAATGAAAATTATGCGTGTCTAACAAATGATGTAGCTATTGCAGCACAATCCAAGATTTTCGATGCGTAGCCAATCACATGTAATGGGGTTACACGTACCCTTGTATGAAAGGGTGGATCACACAAGATGGTGTGACCGTACAAAGGTGTGGATTAGACAAGTTGTTGTAATCACACAATGGTGCGGCTACACCGTAACAGGATAAGTTGCAGGACAGACAGTAATGATGCAAATTAATAGGTTCTACTATGTATTTAGGAAAACCTAAGATTTTAGATATAGGCAGCTCTGCCGCAAATAAAAAAATTAAACACAATTTTAAAATTTGAACGGGAGAGCCTCTTTCCCTTAGTCAAAATTTTTAAATACTTTGGAGGTAGCGGATTGCGATCCGCTACACTCGTACTGGCTCTTATATGGAACGTAAGGTCGGGCTTCCACTAAGCAAAGAGCTAAGGCCCGCTGCCCTGTAGTCAAATTACGCCTGAGTCGTTACGACTGATCCTCTGTGAGGTTATAGCAATACTCCTTTTTGTCCCAGCGCATGCAGAACGGGTTTAATAAACTGATGCCTATGCTGGGCTGAGAGCGTGGAACACATTGCTCCACAAGAACCCTAAGCGGTGAACGCGCGCCTACAAGCTATGAAAATGCTCTGCTAAGGCACCTACAGCAGTTGCTGTCAGCGTCGACTGCATCTATGATGCCACCATCGACGACGGATGATTCCTTCCGACCTAAGCCGCTCATGGTGAGCGTTAAGATCTTCGAGGGTAAGGAAGAAGAGAACCTCCTGCTTTGGGTGAGAGAGGCCGAGATGGCTATGGCATCTGCCATACTCCAAACCAGCATTAGCGCGTGGCGCTAGCTATCTCAAAGCTCATAGAACCGAGCGCGATAATGAACGCTAACGTGCGGTGCTTCGGTTGAAGCGGCGTTTCCCTCCTGAAAGGAGATGAAGCGTCAGCTTTTGCGAGTGTTCTAGCCGCCTAACCAGGCATATCACCAGCGGTCGCGTTTCCTTGCCGCTCGACAGGGCAAGAAGAAGTTGGAGGACTATGTCCAAGAATTGAGAGCTCTTATTGCCGGGATGGCTGCAAATCCTCTCCCCGAGCTGGCCGCGGTGAGCGTCTTTATGGATGGCCTCTGCACTGACGTGGCCAGAATGGTAGACTTCCGTGTTCATCCGTTTTCTTTTGAAGAAGCGGTGATTTTGGCATTGAATGATTAATTTTAAGTCGGTACGACTTGGTTGGAATGCACATCGTCGAGCGGGCCTGAGCCAATAGAAGTCAGCTATGCTGGGAAAAAGAAGAAGAGCATTCGATAGTGATTTATTTGTAGAGCACCTGTCACCTTCGTACTTGTTGTTCCCTGCGCAAGGCGCGTAAAGGTTGGTTGAATCGACGTCCCGCTTCTAGCCAGTTTGGTTTGTCGCGGGAAAACAAAAACAACCAGTAGGAGCGGGGCGCCTTACTAGGGGAGAAGTCAGTTCTGTTGAGCCTCAAAGAGGTAGAGGGCAGCAGATCCCAGCTCCGAAGAGCTCCGTGCTCCTGAACAACGTGGGCTTGCAGCTCGAAAAGCGACCGTGAAGGGATTTGGGAAGCCATGAAAATCCCTTATTGACTCCGAAGCGTGGGGCAATTACGCTCGACGCTTTACTATCGAAGGAAGTCAGCTCTATGCTAAGGCGCTGGAAAGTCGGTCGACTGACACCGTCACTATTCGCTCAGCGACAAAATAATTGGCAAGGATGGAAGATGTAGAAGTGGTTGCAAATTCATCGTCAAGTTATGTTGTCTCGGTCTCAACGGGGAAGAAAAGGACGTTGTGCGCTTTACAGTAACATTTATAGAACTGATATTGCTTGTTCGTGTGGAGTTTCATAAAGACATCGCTACTCCATGAACTCTTCATCGTTTTTGTTTTCGATATTTGATGGAAAATTTAACAAGAGATACAAGTCAAGAGAGCTCAACAATGTGGCATGGGCATTAGCACGTGCTCATACGGTCAGGAAATTTGCCAAATCATAGATCAAGTGAACAGTGTTGCGTTTCAGTGGTTATGTGAAACTGGACATGAAAAATCATCAACTGTGTACAGTCCACAACCAAACTTCAATACTTGACGTCAAACAATGTCCAAAATATATCAGCAGTATCTTCAAAAGCATCCGTGCCCTACCAATTATTGATTGTCTCATGGAAATTGAACACCATGCAGTTGTGAAATGGCTGGAAAATGCAAAGAGAGTCCTCAACAGGACTGAAATAATCCAGTTTGCATCCTACGGATGATTTAAAAAATTGTGAGATTTGCGAGAACCACGTACTGACTTTTTGTTAAGATGTAGCCACACCATTTTATGATTACAACATCTTGTGTAATCCGCATATTTGTATGGTCACAACCCCACCCCTTCATACCAGGGTACTTTTAACCCTGTTACAGGGAAGATCATCTCAAATTGCCTCTTACGTTGATATAATCTTTGATGTGAATGTGAAGCGCAAGTACAAGGACGCCCTAAACTCATTCATCGTGAGTCGTGTAAATGTGATCACACAGGTGCGACACGCAATGCCGAATGTGCAAGACTGCAAAAGAAATGCGCAGATAGACGAGGCCGTCAAGGCAAAATGTAGTTTTGTAGGGGATTATGTACTAAGTGGTATTAAGTAGTACCAAGAACCCATCAGACGATGTGGGCTCAAGCTTGGGAAGAATACGCATCCACAAAGAATAAAAGATCATCGTGATTATACTTTTTCATGTAACATATGCAGCGGCAATCAGCGATGAGTGTGATTAAGTTCATTGTGAAGCTTCGATTTGATAGCGACAGATCTAAGAATTTAATTCAGCGCAGTATCTGGTTTACTCCGATATCTCGATGCTCAAAAAGTAAGCTCGGTCCGAAGTCATGACAAGAGGGACAGAAGAATAAGAGGAAGGTACAGCTTTCCTAAGCATAGTCCGTCCTCGAACCCGCATCGAACGTGCAAACGAGACTCCGACAGTAACGAAGGTTTCGAGTACGAGGCCCCCACCTATTCGCGTTTGGAGGATGTCCTTGCTATTTCATTAAGAGCCTCTTCCGACGACGGACGTTCCTCTCCGCCACCACGTTAGTATCGATTTCCGTGTCAATCTAACGGAAGGGGGGGTGCCTGAAGAGGTGATCTGCTCTGCTTTTTCTGTGGTTGGCTTACAGTCTTCGTCCGCCTGCGTTTGACGATAGAGTAGCATCGACGCAACTGCTAAGCGATCTCACTCTGTATTGGACGTTCCTGATTATTACCGTCCTTTTTCGTGGGGCCTGCTAAGCGATCTCACTCTGTTTCGAACGTTTCTGATCATTACCATCCTTTTCTAGGGCGATGCTGAGGAGACGACGCCAATAAGTTCAATCTTCGACCCTCGCGCCGAACCCATGGCTTCCAAGTCACCTTTGAATAAGACCGCGCTACATTCTGGTTACAAATTGCGTCTTCGCGATAGTAGAGCTTGAAGAACGTTGGATGTGTCCTTAGTCAGCTTGGTAAGCATTCCCAATTAATGACACTACTCGGAATGGACCAATGAAGCGAGGTAGAAGCTTCGAGCAGACGAAACTCTCCTACCAAAATGATATTTGCGTTGGACTCGCATCTTTTGTCACTTGAATACATCGCGCAAATATATAAATACTATAAATCATTTTGATCTACCATGTGATACAAAAAGGAAAATACACGAACTTTAAATTAACATCAAAGTTAACGTCAATGTTAGTGGATAGCCGTGAACTACGCACCGAGGATGCAATCCTGCGCTCCACCGAGAAATAGAATTATGA